AGTAGTAGTAGTAGTAGTAGCAGCAGCTATGAATTACCATCAAATAGCGATAAACATGAGCAAAAGAGCCGCAAATTGCAGGCTGTTTTTGTAAGTGATTGTCTTAAATCTCTAGCAAATCTTTACATTCAAAATCTTTTAAAGACAAATTCCTTAAAATTTAAGAAATGAGTTAGAGCTACGCAAATTTTTTTTTCAATTGCACAAGACGTTATAGACAAAAGTCGAGATGCCTCCAAATTTTGTTCTCCGGCAAAATGGGAATTAGCATTCTGTCACTGCGGAAAGTCCAGGATTTGATTTACCAGTCTGATAATCAATCCCTCTACAACTTGCTCGTCCGTTTCAACGGTAAATTGATACTGGTCAAAGGTAGCGTAGTTGCTATCAGCTGTTGTTTGCCTATCGAAAGAGGGAACCATCGACAGCCTTGCTGGCAGAACAGAGCTGCTGACAAGTGTGCTATCATTCGAGTTACTTCCGAAAGATCCTATCGCTTAAAAGGAAGTGCAGGTGATTTCGACTAGTAATGAGCGACTGTCCCAATCGGGAATAGTCCAAATCGTAGCGCTTCGCGAAAGAAAAAAACCATCTACCGATTCTCTCTTCCGAAGGGTTATACTTGAAAACAAAATTCCCTGATCCTTGGATCAGCTGAATCATGAACTGCACAGGGATTACCATTCCTCATAGCGGAGACGGAATAAATAATCCAATTCAGAGAGTGAAAAGTACCACTTTTCCATCTACGCTAGAACGGCCACCAGAAATTGGAAGCGATTTTACCCCAGAAATAATAGTATAGGAAAACAAGCCTGCAACTGCAAACATAAAGGCGATTGAAGAATAATAACTGAAATGAATCAGAACAGACTTCTTCAGAATAACAGATACAAGCTGACAAAGAGCGGTACCATGCAAAAATGTTAAAAAACACAGGCCGAACGAAAATCGCGAAAAAAAGAACCCTGCAAACTGCAATACTCCAGGAAGTTTGTGATCTCAAGTTACACTCGGTACAAAGTAGATCGGGGGAAACTTGTTAAAAAATTGACAGAACTGTCGGTATACGAGCTAAATTCGATGTTACACAGGGTGTGTACCCTTTCTTCTCGAAAGGTTGCAAGACGGCAAAACACTCCGGCATTTTGCAAAAATCATCAAGGCTTAGATGCAAACAAGCGAAGACTAATTCCAGGGCCAGTAAATTATGGTATTTGTAAACCTCCGTATATTAGTGAGAAAAAAGTACTTGATTTATGGATTACCGCAATATACTTTTTTTTTTCTTTCTCAAAATTCCTGCTTCTTCGGATTGTGAATTTTCAATTCCTTCACTACCCAGAATAAAAAGCGCTGATTTATAGACTTTTTTTAAACGAAACGACAATTACTTGACCAACCAAAACAAAATTTTCCAAAGTTGATTTGGTTGAGCTCCATTCATAAACAGCCAAAACCGAAGAATCCTAAACAAAAGTTAGCATATCCATGAAATTTTTACTATTTTTCTACAAATCATAGGATGAAAAAACTGATGGAATCTCTACAAACACATCTGAAACAAAAAAAGAAAAAAAAACAGGAGAAAAGACAAAATTCGATCCCTAGTAATCGATATCAACGAAAAAAGCTTGTGTAAAAGACAGAGTATGTACAATTTGCAGTTCGAAGAAGTAATATAAATTGCAGCAATGAAAAAAGGAGCCCCATAGGGGCGGAAAAAACAATAACAGTTCTACCCGGAACTAGGAATTTTCGAATAAAAAAGTGACAGGTACCATTCCCAGAACTGAAGAACTGAATAATGCCAACTGATGATGTGATGATGATCGATTTGATGATATTCACCCAGATATATAATAATGCGTTACTCCATTGGCACCTTCGATTGAAGAAACTCT